CATCAGTCCATCAGGTTTGGTGTCAGCAGGTAGCTGGGTGGAGCTGAGCTGCTCCAGCAGAGCCAAACCTCCACCCAGATTCATCTGGTTCAGAAAGAGCAAAGAGGGAATGTTTAATGTTTCTGTGGAGCAGGTTTACAACTTCAGTGTTAGTGAGAGAGGAGAGTTTTACTGTGTGGCTACAAATGATCTGGGGAATCAATCATCAGTGGTCCTAACTGCTGAAGGTAAAGTGTTACTCTTTCTTGTTAATGTATAATCTCTTTTTCATATCGGAAATGTTTAATGTATTTAAGTTAAGAGGCTTTTCTGCATGCATGCAGCTAAAATGTTGAGCTACTACAACTAAATCTTTTAAAGTTGATCTGAAATTGTGTCAATGTGACTCAAAATGGAGAGAAAGGTTGATGTTAACATTCTTCATGTTAAATATTNTTCTAACTCGTCTGTTCACAGATAAGGTCGATGTTCATTCTGCTGCTGATCAATTGATCCTAATAGATCAACTGGTTTTAAAACTTAAACTATTTTAGTTTTATCTCCCGAAATTCAGGTACGTTTACATTGTTGATTTTGATGATTTAACCAAATATTTCTTCAAGTTCTGTCATTTGTACATATTGTCAAACACTCCTATTATATATTTAAATGTTTGGGGTTTTGTTTTCAACAAATGTTAAAAGAAGGACGACGATTGTTTTGATTTGAGTGTTTTAGATACTTTTGAAGAGCAAACTTGTAGTTGTTCCTAATGTCGTCTTTTTACATGTATCAGTTCTAGATGTGTGTTAAGCTCATGGGTGTAAACAGCTTTCAGAGTTACTTTACAATAAGTTAAACCTCTAATATCAGAACTACTTTAATAAATCATCTAAATGTTTGGTTTCCAGCCTGAAGGTACATCAGAGTCTGTCTGAGAACATGCTGACAGTCAACATGTTACTGAGGGTCTTCTTTCTTCAAGGTGAGATGTTTGTTCTCTTCCTTTCATTCACATGAATCATTTCTAGTCTGAAACATTGATCCACATGTAACCTGCTGCAGCTGAACTGGAGTTTGTGGATAATGAAGTTTCTCTGCAGACAGATTTGACTCCACATGATATTCATCATTTGTCTGATTTTACAGATGTTTTTGCTGACTACTGTCAAAACAAACCAGTAGGCCTCTCCATCACTGCACCAAAGGAG